ATTTTATTTTATTTTTAATTTTTTATTTTCTTTTTTCCATTTTAAAATTTAAAAAAAAAAACTAACTTGAACTTTTAAAACTAAATAAAAAAATAATTATTTAAAAATGTAAGATCACATTAAAATTTTAATTTTTTATTTTAATTTATTTTTTAAAATTATTAAAAAAAAAAATTTTCTTTTTTTTTTAATATCTAAATTCTAAAAATAAAAAAAAAATTATGGACTATTTTAAACTTTTTTAATGTAAAATTAATTCATTCTAAAACAAGGTACTTTTATTTGTTTTTTTTTTTTTTTTGTTTTTTTTGTTTTTTTTTTTGTTTTTTTTAATTTAGTTATGTATTGTTATTAAAAGCATGCAAGTATTAAAATTTTGTTTGCATTTGGTTTCGAATTAATTAAATTCCAGAACATATATCATACCTCTTTTAAACATTGTTTGGAAATAGGATTATATAAATATGTTAATTTTTAATTTTTTCCTTTTTTAAAATTTCTAATTAAAAAAAAATCACAATGATACTTTACCCCCCCCCCCCCAACATTTGCACAACTATTTAAATTTTTTGGGGGTTTATATCATCATAAAATAATAATATTGTTTGTAAAAAGAAATTTTAAAAATAAGAAAAAGAATTTAAGAGATAATATCAAACTTAATTTATTCAACTTTTATAAAATTTATTCACACAATTCCCAACTCCTCCATTTTATTTTTTTAACTATAAAAAAAACACTCCGCACTACAAATATCAAATAACTGCTTTAAATATTTTTTATAAAGTGGTGTGTTTTAAAATTTCTTTTTGTAGAGTAATAAAAATATTTTTGTTTTCTTTTTTAATTATACATAAAAAAGGTATTTATTAATCCTTTTTTATTGGTTTCTTGAAAAAAAAAAAAAAAAACTTCAAACCTCCCTCAAAGAAAAAAAAAAAGATTTTTTATATTTTTTAAATTTTTCTAATTTTTTTTTTTATTTTTTTTTTATTTATTTTTTTATTTATTTTTTTAAATTATTTGTTTTATAATTTTTTGGGAATATCTGATTTGTTTATATATTAATTAACCTCTCTCAATATCATACTAATAATTAATTCAATATATATAGAGTTATTTATATAGAATCTCAAAAATATAAAAATAAATCATTTTTTTTTAATACCCCTCAATTTATAAAATAACTATTATCCTTTTATCACCAACACACATAATAAATAAATAATTATAAATAAATAAATAAATAACAACGTCAAATATATTTAATTTTTTCTTTTTTTTTCTTTTTTTTTTTCAACAATCGTTTTTAATAATTTTTTAAAAACATAAAAAAAAATTAAAAAAAAAAAATTTTAAATTAAACCATCATAGAATATATATAGTTTAATATGAGCTCACCTCATATCGAAATAAATTCAAACCATATTTTAGATAGATCAAGTTCAACTTCAAATAATATTCTTCCCCCACTTGATTTATCAGGAAAATGTTGTGGTTTATCATCATCAACTCCACCCACACCCTCAATAGCATTAAACTCTATTGAAATAAATAATAAAAGTGGTAGTTTTTCACCTTCTTTTTCAAATTGTACTTTATCTATTGAAAATCGAATTCCACAACAAAAAAATAATGTTAATAACTGTAATATTAATAACCCGAATAATTGTGATACTAATACTGAAAATGATAATTATGATAGTTCAAAACCAAACCCAGACGGAACAAGAGCATTATTTACTACTTCAAACAATACCGCCATTCCGAATGAGACAAATACATCACCACAACTATCACCATCATCTTCAACAACAACAACAACCACTACATCTACACCAAATTTAAAAGACCAACAGCAACAACCTTATTTAGGTAAAAGAAGATCCTCATTGCAAATTAATGAAGCATCACCTAAATTTATAACAACTCCATCAGTTGAAAAAACAATATGTATATTAGATTATTTACCATGTCCAGTTTTTCAAATTGGAATTGTAGAGAATAGTGAAAATGGCAACATCACACTAAATGGATTTGCAAATGAACGTCTTACAACTCTTTTATCTTGCTCATCAAATCAACTAGTTGACTCTCTAAAATCAATTCCATCACCACACTATAATACATTTCCACCACTAGAAAACAACTCATTACCAATAAATAATTTGGCCCCTGGTTTATTACCAAATACCGATCCAACTAAAATTTTAGATCCATATATTTCATTGTACAATAAAAAGCAACAAGAACAAAAGCAGCTAGAGGAAAGTAATAGCAACATTTCAAACCAACAACCACAAGAACAAGAAAAAAATAAAGAGAACATTGATCAAGATATTAGTATTACAAAAAACTTAACTACTGATGAAACAATATCATTAAATGAATCAACCAATTCAATTTCAAAACCAAATTCAATTCTTCAGTGTATACTAGACTCTTTTCATGAACAAAAAGCAATTACAGAAAAGGTTTTATTAAGTAACTTTTTAATTAGACAACAATACAAAGCCAAAGCAACCATTAAACCATTTCCCGATGGCTGTTTGTGTATATTTGAAAACATTGTAAATATCAATTTAAACTATCAACCAAAATCATTTTTCTCATCTTTACAAAATGAAATGGAAATGTTAAGCTTATCACCAGATGCACACAGTTCTCCATTTTTACACTCTGCTTCAAACAATTCATTAAACTCTATGATATCAGCTGGCTCTTCCTCATCACTATCTTCTGCATCCGCTTTATCCGCCAACCAATCATCTGTTTTATCAAGTGATGGTGTTGCGACCTCAAATGGTAGTGGTAGCAACTCATATAGTAATTGTAGCAGTAATTTTAGTGTTAATAATAGCAATGGATCATTACCAACATCATCATCAGTATCATTATCATCATCAAATGGCTCAACACCAACCAAAAAAGAACATAACAAATCATTTCATTCACATATACCAAAGAGTAGCAAGCACTCAAGAATTTATTCTTTACTATTAAGTAGTTTCGAAAATCTTTCTTTTCTTTTAAAAACAACACCTTTAATAGTATGGAGAGCCGACCACAATGGAAACATAGTATTCTTTAAAAAGCTAGATGAAATACCCATTGATGATAAAAAATGTAGTGGTAATAGTTTCGAAGATTTCCTTGGATGGGTTCCTCCAACTTATCGTACAAATTTCTCTGAAATGTTTGAAAACAATTTAAAGACCCTTAAACTTTTCGAATTTCTCTACTGGTTCCAAACTCCAAACAATTATGTTCAACTTTACAAGATTGCAGGTTATCCAATATTTAACGAAGATGAGAATAAAGGTGTAGTATGTTCAAAGAAACAAGTTATAGGTTGGCTCGGTGTCACATTTAATTATTTAATTAATGATGGTGCTGAAATCAGTATAAAAGGTAGTGCAAATCTAGACTGTATGTTAGAGAAGTTTAAATCATTATACGAAATGCCAAATATTGAACGTACAAGACTATGTTCGAATTTAAGTGGTCCAAGTGAATCCTCATCATCAATATTATTGGAAAAAAAGAAACATTTAATTTCAGAAGCTGAAAAAGAATGTTTCTTAAAATGTAAAGATACATATAATATTTTATTTAGATTAAGTTTATTAGGCGTTATGTTTTCAACATTTAAAGGAATAGTTTTAGATGTGAGTATATTTTTTTTTATAAATTATATATTATTTTTAATATTAATTATTTTTAAATTTTTTATTTATTTTAGGCCAACGATATGTTATTACAAACTATAGGTTATACTAGAGGCGATTTAGAAGAAGGAAAAATAGATTGGATGCTATTAACACCACCCGAATATTTCGAAATTTCAGCAAGAGCTTTACAAGAGTTAAAATCTAAAAGATGGTGTCAACCTATTGAAAAAGCATATACTCACAAGAGTGGCAAAAGAGTACCCGTTTTAATTACATCCGCAATGATTGATGGTAGTACTGAACAATGTATAACATTTGTATTTGACCTTAGTAGATATAGACAAGCTGAATTAGCTGCCATTGAAGCTACTCGTCTTAAAACCCAATTCATTACAAACATTAGTCACGAGCTACGTACTCCATGCCATGGTATTGTTGGTATGAGCCAATTATTATTAGATTCAAATTTAACTCCAACCCAAAGAGACAATGTAGACTCTATTAAGAGATCAACTGACTCATTAATTTCATTAATTAATGATATTTTGGATTTCAGTAAACTCGAGTACGGAAAAGTCACATTAGAAAACGAAAGCTTTGAACTCTTACCAATGATTGAAGAGGTTCTCGAATCTCAAACATCTGTAGTAAACCACAAAGGTATCGATTTAATATTTACAATGGGTAGAGACTATCCAGTTCCACCAGTTATTTTTGGTGATAGAAACTCATTAAAGAAGGTTTTATTAAACCTTGTAGGAAATGCCACCAAATTTACAGAGTCTGGTTTTGTTTTGCTTGAAATCTCTACCGACTATGTAAGTGGCGATCAAATATCTCTTCGTTTTACTGTTAAAGATAGTGGTATTGGAATTCCAGAAGATAAGATCGAACAAATTTTCATTCCATTTGGTCAAGTAGATGGTTCATTTAGTAGAAAATATGGTGGCTCAGGTCTTGGCTTATCATTCTGCAAAGAATTGGTTGCTTTGATGGGTGGCTATATTAGAGTGGAAAGTGGGGATCAAGATGGCAAAGGTACAACATTTTGGTTTTCAATTAAAGTTCCAATTTCCTCACCATCCTATTTACCAAACAGTGTCCCAGCTGCTAATCAATTTTTTTACCCCGAATATCGCCCATCACATGTAAACGCTAGCTCAAAGAATTGTCTAATTGTTGAGTCAAACCAATTAGTTGTGATGTCTATTCAATCGATACTGTTATCAATGAAATGTGAATGTATTAATGCATCAAAACTTAATACTGCTGCTGATATTATTGAAACCTCAAAGAGTACAAATACTCCAATTAATGTTATTATCATTACAGACAAACTCACATTTATAGATGAATTATTGGAATTAGTAACCGACGAAAAGGTAATAATTTATGGTACAGATATAAATTCAAAATGGTTACAAAATCAAAAAGTTTTCTCCTACCTATTAACACCAATAACATACAGTAAAATAATCAATTCAATTATAAGAAGTAAAAACTTATTAAAAAATGAAATGGAAAATATTAATCAACTTAATAATAACACAAATAACTGTAATGATAATACTGACAATATCGACAACAATGTCAATGTAAATAATAATAATAATAATAATAATAATAATAATAATAATACTAATAATAATAATAATAATAATAATAAGATCGTAGAGGTTCAAAAGCAACAACAAATATCACAACCAAAAATAACGAATGAAATAGTAATCCAAAAGAAATATATATTAGTTGCAGAAGATAATGATATTAATATCAAAGTTATAGTTAGACAGTTGGAAAAATTGGGATATACAGCAATTATAGGTATCAATGGTCTTAAAGCATTAGAGGCAATAGGAAGTGTACCAATTTGCTTAATCTTATTAGATTGTCAGATGCCTGAAATGGATGGCTTTACATGCTCAAAAATTATTAGAGAAATAGAGCCAAATTGTCAAAGAGTCCCAATTATTGCAATGACAGCAAACGATTCAAAAGATAAATGTTTTGAAGTTGGTATGGACGATTATTTATCTAAACCTGTCAAAATTGATAAACTTCAAAAAACTTTATCTGAATGGATTAGTTTAGATGAAAATGGAAATCCTTCAAAAACCTATAACTTTTTATCATTGTCTTACTCTTTGTCCTATAACAGCTTTATGGAATCAATAAGTGATGATAATAATCATCAAACTTAAACTATTATAAACAAATAATAATAATATTATTAATCATAATAGTCGAAAAATTGTTTTATATAAAACAATTGTAATAAAAAAATAAATCATTTTATGTATTATAAATTTAAAAATAAATAAATAATTTATTTAATTTATAAAAAAAAAAAAAAAAAAAAAAAGTATAGTTTTATTTAAGATGTTTAAATAATTGTTTAAAATCGTGATATTCCAAAGTGTCAAAATTATTTATATCGTTATTAGGCTTTAATGGCTTTTCTCTATTTATTTTAATTAACTGTTTTATTATTTTATTATTATTATTAATATTATTACTACTATTATTGGTGTTTATTAAATCATTTGAAATATTGATATTACTATTGTTTATTATTAATTTTGATGGTAGATGGTGTGCTAAATTTTCATATTTTATTTCGAAATGTAAAATATTTTCGTTTGAGTAATATAAAATTTTGTATTGGAAATGGGTGTATGATTCGTTATTTTGATGAAATATGATTTCATAGCCATTATTCTCGTCTTTAATTAATGTTTCGTTGTACTCTTCTCTTCTTTGAATAAAACAATTTAATAATAATTGTATTAATTCGCAAAATATCTGTATTTGAAAAAAAAAAAAAACAATTAATAATTAATTACATTAAAAATGTGAAAATATTATATAACTATTATTACCAACCTTAATATTATTATTATTATTAACTAAATATTTATCGGCAATTGTTTGAATAGGTATCCAGTATGGTAAATTGTGATTAGCAATTTGAATTACTCCCTTGAGGTTGTCTTGAAATAAATTTACCAAATAATGTTCGTAATATTTGTCTATAAAAAAATATAAAAATTAGTATTAATCTATTAAATTAATTTATTTAATAAAATAGAAATCTTACTATCTAAATATGTGTCAAATCTAAATAAAAGATAATTGGGTTCACTATCATTACCATTGTGATTGTGATTAAAATAACCCTCTTGACTATTATTATTATTATTATTATTACTTTTATTACTATTAAAATTTATTAAATTTAACCATTTTGAATTATTATTATAAACTGATATGCCATAAAGTTGGAAAAAGTGTGACTTTGTTTCTTCTTGTGTATTTTTTGATGATGTTATAATATCTTCACAAAACAAACTTTTTGTTTTAATGTCTTTTAAAAATAAATCGTCATCATAAATATCTTTTATACCATCACCACTATAATCTTTTGTTTTATTTAAAATTAATTCTTTCATTGTGGTGGATAAATTTATTTTGTTTTGATGATTATTATTATTATTATTATTGTTATTATTGTTACTGTTATTGTTGTCATTTCCTTCGCTATTATAATTAACTATTTGATTTTTATTTTTATTACTCTTTAAACCTTCCAAAATTACTGAAAGATCATTCTTTTTTTTAATTAATTTTAAAATTAATTCACCTAAAAAACAAAAAACAAAAAAAAAAAAAGTAAAAAAAGTAAAAAAATATAAGAGTGTTAGGAATTGTTTTTTAAATTAATTGTGGTTTATTAAATTTTATCTTACTTTTATCTTGTGATTCCTCTAAATATGTCTTTGTATTAATTCTATTATCATCATTAATAGTGTTATCATTATTATTATTATTATTATTTTTATTTTTATTATTATTAATTTTTAAATTGTTTGGTGGTTGTGATTGAGATTTCATCACAACATTACATATCTTCAATTTAACGAAATATATTTTATATATTTAAACTTATAAAAACAAAAAAAATAAAAAAAACAATTGTGTGAAAAACCAAAAATTAAAAGAAAAAAAATATAAAAAAAATTTTAAAAAAAAAAAAAAAAAAATGTTTTTAAAATTTTTAATTTAAAAATAGAACCATTTGATTGAAAAATGAATATAATTTTAAAAATATTGGGAAATTAGTTTTGATAAACTATTTTTAATTATGATAATATTGATATATATATGTATAAAAAAAAAAAAATATAAAATAATATAAATATATAAATTTCCACACACACACACACAAAAATTCTCGTACTCACCCACACCCCAAAAAATAATAACACACCCAATTTTAATTAACTCTACACACATTATCAACACCCCTACTAGTAGGTTATATAAATACACACACGCACAATAACTAAAAACAACATGTATATAAATATGTCTATATCATATAAATAAAAAAATTTTATGATAATAATATATTTTTTTTTTTTTTTTGTTTTTTTTTATTATTTAATATATCAAAAATTTAATTTATTTTAATTTTTCAAAAAAAAAAAAAAAATACTATTACAAATTTTTTTTATTTTATAAATTTTATATTTATATTTATATAAAGCCACCCACTTTATATAACAATATTTAAAAAACAATACATACAATAATATACGGAGTTTTTATAGTAATAATAAAAATAATAATAGGAATAATAGGAATAATAGTAATAATTTAAATTTATTATATTATTTAAATAATATATTTACAGAAGATGGGTGCTCAAGAATTACCAGCACTTCAGTCTTTGACAAAAACCCATATGGCAATATTAACATTTTGTTCATTAGTGGTGATACTCAAACTTATATATATATACCGTTATGAAAAAAAGAAGAATACAGCAGCAAAACTAAAGAAAATAATACATTATTTAATTTTAACCTACATCTTTTTAATTTTAATTTTAAATTATATTCAAATTGGTAGATTTTATTATAACCCAGCCATTTGGACAATTTTTTATAAAGTGGTATATAATATTTGCGGTTTCCTATTTACATCATCATTTATCTTATTACTAACTTATTGGTAAGAATCTCGAAAAAAAATTATTTTTATTTATATTTTACTAATCCTATTTTATTTTTTTTTATATAGGATTGGTATGATTACCGATATTTTTGAAATAAGAAAAGGGGCAATTTTTACAAAATATACTGGACCGGTTTTTATGGTAGTTCAATTTTCGAATTTTGTTATCAAACTATTAACAATTATATCAAATGCAAAAGTATTTTATTTACAAACTAGACTAGCATTAGAAAAAGCATCCATCTATTTTGATTTCTTTGTAAATACTGGTGTTTTATTCATTTTAATTACATTTATTGTTTTAAATCTCTATGTATTTAATAAAAAAGTTAGAAGAAGAATTGTATGTATTTATAATAATTATCAAATGAAAAATCAAATATTCACTAATTTTTATTCTTTTTAGAAAATATTTACAGTAATTGCAGCAGTTGTTGGTGCAACATTCTTTTGTTTAACTTTATTAAGAGTTTTAATTTATTATGATTCATCAAAATACAGCTATGGTACATTAACATTAGTTAGCGCATTAACATTAGAAGTTGTATTTGTTGTATATCCAATTAGAATTGATGTTATCAATAATAGACACGTTAACAAATTCTTTGGTTTATTCTATATCGGTTTTTCAAAAGAAACAAGACAAGATACATTAAGCTCACATAAGAAAACCAATGCTACAATACATCAACAAACCATGAAAGATAAAGATGGAGGTCTAAATACAATTCATGACTACGAATCAAATAAAGAACCAACTACAACTGTATCTTTAGAAGAATTTGAAATTAACAATTCACCTAATCTAGATAATAAGCATCACAGCGAACTTCAAAATGGAGCAAATAACAATAATGAAAATACCGAAATTAACATCTCTGAATTAAACAATACAAACAATAATAACTTTAATAATAATACATTAGATGAAACAAATACAAATAATACAAATACAACCTCATCAAACAGTAGCTCTGATAGTTTAAAAGAAATAATTTCAGAAGTCCAATAATAATAATAAATATAATAATAATAATAATATAACATAATAATACAATAATAACAATAATTATATAATATAATTATAACAATATAATTATAGTTAATATTTAAACCATAAAAAAAAAAAGCGAATTGTACAATTAACCCCAATTTTTCCTGATTACAAAAACCACCACTTCAGAAACAAAAAAATATATATTTCATTTTAATATATCTTTTTTTAAACTATTTATTCACAAAAAAAATAAAAAATAAAAAAAAAAATAAAAAAATAAAAAAATAATATAAAAAATAAGAAATATTTATTTAAACCATTATGGTATCATATCTTTTCCTTTTTTTTTTTCAATTATATGAAATATCTTTTTTTTTAAATTTTTTTTTAAATTTTTTTTTTTTTTTTTTTATTTATCTGGTTCATCAAAAGTCATGATATTATTTCCATAATATTTTATATTTTTTTTTAAATTTAATTAAAAAAAAAAAAATTTTAAAAAATTAGTTTTTTTTTTTTTTATTATAATCTAAATTATAAAAAAAAATTCATTTTGATTTTGTAATAATTTATATAATAGTAATAATAATAAAAATAATAAAAATAATAAAAATAATAAAAATAAAAAAATATGGAAAAGAAACAATTTGAAAGCGTTCAAGCCACATTAGAAAAATATATTCCAGCCGAAGAGCTTTCTGAAGTTAAAAGAATTCTCTATGGAACCAATAGAGGCAAACATGTACAATCAATTCCAATTACCCAAGAAGCTTTGGAACTTTCCAAAAAACATAATTTTGAAATTGTTGCCTCAAAGTAAGCATTATATTTTTTAATAAAAAATAATAATATCTAATATTTAATAAATTTTATTATTTTTAAATATGATAGGATCGAAGCTGAACCAGAACAATTAAGAAAACCAAGAATTGTCAGAATTGGTATTATCCAAAATACAATTGGCAAAGAAACCACTGCTCCAGTCCAAGAACAATATTTAGCAATTGAAGCCAAAATTGAAAAAATGATTGATGCTGCAGGTGCTATGGGTGTAAATGTTTTATGTCTTCAAGAAACATGGCGTATGTATCATATTTAAACAAAATCATTTACAGCAATAATAATAAATAATAATAAATAATAATTTAAATTTTTTTTTTTTAATAATTAACTAATTTATTAATTAGATATGCCATTTGCATTTTGTACTAGAGAAAGATATCCATGGGTAGAATTTGCAGAATCAGCATCAAATGGTCAATCAGTTAAATTTATTCAAAGAATGGCTAGAAAATATAATATGGTAATTGTTTCACCAATGTTAGAAAGAGATGAAGTTCACAGCGGTACAATTCATAATACAGCAGTAGTTGTAGGTAATAATGGTAACATTATTGGCAAAAGTAGAAAGAATCACATTCCACGTACTGGTGATTTTAATGAATCAACTTATTACATGGAATCAACATTAGGCCACCCAGTATTTGAAACAATTTATGGTAAAATTGGTATCAACATTTGCTATGGTCGTCACCACAATTTAAATTGGTTAGCATATGGTCTCAACGGTTCAGAAATCGTATTTAATCCATCAGCTACAGTTGGCGAACTCTCTGAACCAATGTGGGGTGTCGAAGCTAGAAACGCTGCTATGACAAATAACTATTTTGTAGGTTCAATTAATCGTGTTGGAACTGAACATTTCCCAAATGAATTTACATCAGGTAATGGTAAACCAGCCCATAAAGATTTCGGTCATTTCTACGGTTCATCTTATTTCTCATCACCAGATAACTGTTGTTCTCCAGCTCTTTCACGTGTTTCCGATGGTCTTAATATTGCTGAAGTCGATCTTAATTTATGTCAACAAGTTAAAGATAAATGGAACTTCCAAATGACTGCACGTTATGAATTATACGCTAAATTCTTAACTGATTATATTAAACCAGACTACCAACCACAAATTATCAGAGACCCATCAATTAAAGAATAAAAAAATAAAATTAAAAAAAATAAACAAATATTTATAAAAACACAAAATATTATCTATTTTCCTTTTATTTATTAAGTTTCCTCAAGTTGTGCAGCATGTGGTAATTTAGAATCAAGTTATTTAATTGAATCTACACAAATAGAACATGTCAAAAATATATATTCCACTCTTAAGAATTTATCATTGAGGGAAATTTTAATAACTTATTAATCAAAAGTTAAAATAATTTTATAACAATTTTTATATATAAAATTTTGTAAGTTTTTATTATTTTCTATCTTCTTTTTCTTGTTTCACTTTACAATATAAAATTACCAAACTTGTTGGGTTTGTCCACAATTTTTTTAGAGAGTTTAATTTTATTTATGATTTTTGGATTTAATAAAAATATATAAAAACTGTTTTTTAATATTAAAAATCAAACCAGGTCAAAAACTTTTTTCAAAATCATTTTTATAAATTTTTTTTTTTTATAACATGAAATTTCACATAATTATATTTTTGAAATAAATTTATTATAACTTTTTTAAATTAAAATTTAGAAATTATATTCATAGTATTATCCAAAGATAAATTAATAGATTTGTTAATTAAAATTAATTTTAAAAAATACTAATACTAATGCATATTGTGATATTTTTTTTATTTCATTTTTATTTAAAAAAAAAAAATTTTAAGATTTGTACAAAAAAACAAAAGATTGTTATTGATTAAACTATTTTACAAATAAATATTATGCTATCAAAACAATTAAAAATTTCTTTTTAATATCATATTATAATAAATAAATTTTTTTTCATATTTTTTCAGATAATTATCTTTTTTTTTGAAATTTTTTGTGGGTGGGGTAAAATATTAATTTTTTTTATTTTTTTATTTTACCATTATATTATTTATTGGTTTTAAAAGAATAGAAATAATAATAATAATTACATAATAAAAGATATTAAACAATTTTATTATAAATTTATTTATTTAATTTTTTTTTTTTATATTTAAAATATTTAAGAAAAAAAAAAAAAAAGAAAATGATAATTATTTTAAGATTTTTTAATTAATTAATACTTTAGAATAGAAATAAAAATGAATTTTATAAAAAGCGCAACTAATGCTTTAGAAACAACCACCAAAGCAGGTGCATCTTTATCAAGACAAGCTACTGAGCATGCCAGTCCAGAACAATCTAATATTGGATCTGAATTCGCTACAAGAACCAAAGGAGTTAGCCAATCTTTTAAAAACACCTCAACATCCTCCCCAGTCCAAAACAATGAAGCTGAAAATGAAGACAACTCTAACAATAATAATGAATCAGTTGGTTTAATGGGTAAAATTGAAGAATCATTGGGCTCTTTAAATATAATGGGTAATAAAAAAAACAATAACAACACAAACAGATCCCATGAAAGAAACTACTCTGTAGACAATACAGATAATGACAATGATAATAACAGTAGCAACTCCAATAGAAACACAAATGAAGGATTAATCAGTGGTTCATTGCAAAAGCTTCATAGCATTAATGAAACAGTTGATGAAAAACTCACCTCCTTCAAATCTAAAAAACCAAACCAATCACAAACAAATAATGAAGATACAACTTCAACCAATAATGAAGGATTTTTTGGTAGTTCAGTAAATAAAATTCATAGTTTAAATAGAAATGTTGAAGATAAAGTCGAAAGTGCAATGGGATTAATCGGTTTAAAACCAACATCATCAGTTACCCACAATACCCCAGTCCATCAATCAACCCAAAGTGACACAAGCTTTGTAGAAAGATCAAGAGATAGACTTAATACATCAAATGAAGATAATCAAAATAAAGGCTTTATGGATTCTGCCAAAGAAAAATTAGAAAACTTTACCTCAACAAGAAATACTTCATCTAGAAATAATGAAAATGATGTTGAAGAACCAACCTCTAACACCAATAATAGAACTTCATCTTTTATGAATAATGCTAGAAATAAATTAAACAACATTGAAGAAGAAACAGAAAATAAATTTAATAACCCAAATAGAAATACCTCATCTTATGATAATGAAGATTCAAATAGAAACACATCAAATCAAAGAGAAGGTTTTTTAGAAAATACCAGAAACAAATTAAGCTCATTTGGCCAAAGTGTAGAAGAAAAGTTTGATAATAGAACATCCTCATCAAAAAACAATTATACCAGAACATCAAATGAAAGTAATGATAATGACTATAGTTCAAATGATAACAATAGATCAAATAATTATTAAATAAATATTTTATAGTTTTTTTAAAAATTTTTATATTTAAATTTTTTTTTTAAAAAAAATATTGATTAATAAATTAATTTGATTATTATTATTTATAATATTTAATTTATCTTTTATATTTATTATTATTTTATTATATTATTATTTAATTTTTTAAAGTTGCAACAGCTTTAACGGCGGCATCGTCTAAATCATTAGCAGTAATAATATTTAAACCAGATTTTTCTAAAATTTGTTTACCAAGTTGGACGTTGGTACCTTCTAAACGGACAACTAATGGAATTGTTAAACCAATTTGTTTTGAGGCATTGACAATACCTGAGGCAATGATATCACATTTCATGATACCACCGAAAATATTAACTAAAATAGATTTGACTCTTGGATCTTTGGTAACAATTTTGAAAGCTTCAGTGACAGCTTCTTCTGAGGCACTACCACCAACATCGAGGAAGTTAGCTGGTGTACCACCCTTTAATTTAATGATATCCATAGTGGCCATAGCTAAACCAGCACCATTGACCATACAACCAATAGTACCATCGAGACCAATATAGTTGAGACCAAATTTGGAGGCTTCGACTTCACGTTGATCTTCTTCAGCAAAATCTCTCATGGCGAAAATTTCTTTTTGACGGAATGAGGCATTATCATCGAAATTGATTTTAGCATCCATGGCATAAATTTTACCATCGGTAGTTTCGGCGAATGGATTGACTTCGACTTGAGTAGCATCGCATTTGATGAATAATTGATAAAGATTTTCCATTTGTTTTTGAGCAATGGCAACTTTTTCACCAGTGAAACCTAATTTTTCAGCGAGACGTTTGCTTTGTTCTGATTTAATACCACCAATAATATCAATTGGTTCTTTAAAGATAAGTTCTGGAGTTTCTTCAGCAACACTTTCGATATCAACACCACCTTTTGGTGAGGCGATCATAACTGGGCCACCATATTTACGATCCATAACAATGGCTAAATATAATTCACGAGCTGGGTCAACTGATTCTGCTAACATAACTGATTGAACTTTGGTACCTTCAGCAGTGGTTTGTTTAGTAACTAAATGTTTTCCTAACATTTCTTTGCAAAGACGTTCAGCTTCTTTACCAGTTTTACAGAGATGAACACCACCTTTGAAACCAGTTTCGATGAAATGACCTTTACCTCTACCACCAGCATGTACTTGTGCTTTAACTACTAATTCCTTAGCATTTAATTCGTCTGCAGCTTTGGTTGCTTCGTTTGCTTGTTTAACGACTCTCCATTTTTGGGTATTAACACCAAATTTATCCATTAATTGTTTACTTTGATATTCATGTAAATCTAAATGTCTAACTTGATAAGTACTTGGATTGAATTTTAAAAATCCCTAAAATATATTGATTTATTAATTGTATTTAAAATGGTATTAGTATATTTTTTTTTTTTTTTTTTTTTTTTTTTTTATGTCTTTAAATTTAATATTAATGTGTAATTATAATTTAATATTAAATTTTGATCATTTTTATGATTGAAGTTATTATTATTATGATTATTATTGTTGTGCTAAAAACCTTTTTATTTTGGGTTATATTTTAAAACATACAATAGTTTTAACAAGTGGAGTTCTGACTGAATTAAAATATGACATTATTACTATATAATTAATATATATTTATAAAAATAAAATAATTAAATAAAAAAAAAAAATGAAAATAAAAAAATAAAAAAATAAAAATTTTAAAAAAATTAAAAAAAAAAATTTTAAAAAAAATTAAAAAAAAAAAAGAAAGGTGTGTTCATTTTGATTTTCATTTTCCGAATTTTTTTTTTTTCTGTGTATAAACATCGTAATGTTGCCTTTATTTAGTTTATTATAATTAAAAGAAAAGCGATTGATCATAAGTTGGACCTTGAAGTAATTTCCAGCTATTTGGGGTTTTAAAAGTTGGTTTTGGTTCATCATTATCTAATTTTAAAATTTCATTTTTTTTTTTAAAATTGAAAAAAATTAAAAAATTGATTTTAAATTGAGAAAAAAAAAAAAAGGATTAATATAAAGTTTATATAAAACAAAATGAATAAAATATTATTAAAGTTGTGTTACCTTTTTTAATTAAAATATAGATTTGATATGCCATTTGTAAAGCTTCAACAGTATTATAACCTTCAGAACAAAATAAATTTACACATAAAAATGATGGTCCATTTGATGAGTCGCTATTTGTATTTAAATAAATTTCTTTAGCTAAACCAGTCAATCTATTACTGAGATGCATTAATTCGCCACCAAATTCATTGGATGGAATTTCAAGTTCCATTTCTGGGATACCATTACTATTAACTTTATCAATTGTTTCTTTTGATGTTGTATTTGATTTAATATATCTAATTTGTGGACTAGTTATTTTAAAAGAAAAGTTGTTAGTAATTATTATAATGAAATGATTTTATTGCTTTTATTAATTGTTAATTTTTTATTATTGTTTTGTTATTTTATTTTACTATTTCATACCCAAATAATTGTGAATCAACTCTTTTATTTGCATTACTACTTGAAATAAATATAATTTCTTTAAATTCTTCGGTTTTTATCCAATTTAATAATGGCTTTGAGAATTTTGAGAAACATCCATCAATAATTGGTGATCTTTGTTGAACTAAAGTGATCAATGGAAATTGAGAAGATTGATAGACCTCAATACTAGTTGAAAGTACACCTTTATTATTATTATTGTTATTACCGTCTACTGTATAGCAATCATTACCAACAATTGGTATAACATTCTCATCTACAATAAATCCAACTCTTTTGAATTCAAATGAACATATTAAAACATCTATTGTTAATTGACCAATATTACCTAAAGTTAATGAAGGCCAAATAATTTTATTATCTTTAAATGAAATTTGGTTGTTATTGCTTTTATCTTTATAAAAAAATGGCATTATTTGATTAAATATTATATATTAATTTTTGGAATTAAAGGAAAAAAATAAAAAAATTTAAAAAAATGTTTTTTTTTAAATTAAATTTTAAAAAAAAAATTAAAAAATTTTAAAAAAAATTCAAAAATAAAACAAATATATAATATTTGTATTTAACAAATAAATAAATAAAATTTTTAAAAAAACTATATATGTTAATTTAAACACCATTGTAATTTTATTTTATTTGTGAAAATTTTCACTTTCCTCTTTATAAGTTTGTCAATCCAAAAAAAATCAAAATTTCGATAATTAAAAAATATCAACACAACACATATAAAATAGATTGTTATAATAAAAAATCAACATATAACAAAATAAGATATTTTAAAACAAATAAATATTTTCTGATAATAATTTTTTTTATAAAACCACAAAAAAAATAAAACCTAAACAATACACAGCACAAAAAAATAAAACCCAAAAAAAAAAACCAAGATATTTTTTTTTTTTTTTTTTATCATTTATTTATATATTCCAAAAAATGGAGGAGAAAAATAACCAACTATCAGAAAGAACATATAAACTATATAAATCAGTATTCAATAATATAGTTTTATCAAATATAATTTTTAGATATGTAGAAAGATGGAATTATACCTGTTTAAGCAACTACTATCAATTCGAACGATATGCATATAAGTTTCAAAATGACCATGTAACCAAAGCAATATTTAAATATAATGACATCAAATTAGAATGGATTTTAGCACATGATAAATGGTTATTATTCAAAGATAAAGTCAAAACTGGATCTCATTTTAATTTTGGTGGTGTTACTGAAGAAAGCTTTAAAAAACTATTGGGTGTATTAAATTTAAAGAATCCAGCATGTACAAGATTATTCAACACAGACTCTGAAGGCATTATTCTATTAATGGAAGGTTTTTATTTCAATAACGAAGAAGATTTAAAGCGTCTTGGTTTTACAACAACTTATTCATACGACATAAAATGCTCATTAAATATATTTGACATGTCAATCTTAAAGAACAATATAGATTTTTTAAAGATCATTTTAAATGAATATCTCAAAAGTGTCAAAGATATAAACAAAAAAGAAAAAGAAAAAGAAAAAGAAAAAGAAAAGGAAAAAGAAAAAGGAAAAGAAATAGATTCTGCTGGTTCATCAAGCAGTTCAGATAAAATGGTAGGCCCTTTCCAATTTAATGAAAGTGAACTTGTTAGGAAATTATTTGCTTTTGGTGATTTAGAAATGATAAAGTATCTACATGGGCAATATGGCTTAAATCTTGGTCATTATTATAACAACTTATTATATTGGGCTTTATTATCACCACATAGAAATAGTTTAGTCACATTTCTTTTACATGAAGCTGAATATAAGATCCCCACCGAGTATCCCGAAAGATATAGAGATTTCTTCGAAAATCTTTTATTATTGGACTACAAGCTATTTAAAAAATTAGTCAAGCTTGGTTCACCAGTATTGTTAACAACTAAAATTCCATACCACTACTTTGAGAAAATTACATCAACCATCCCATTCAATGATCAATTAAACTATATACTCACATTGGTTCACTGCTTTTATATCGAGAAAAAAGATGAAAAATATCAGTCAATGCTAAAGAAAATGAGAACCTTAACCAAACACAAAGAAATGATTAACCCAAAACCCTTTGAATCATTTAATGCAAAAACAGAAATTTCAAATGGAAAAGAAAGTATTTTTGGAGATTCATTTAAAAAAACAACCGAACCAAATACTAATAAAAGATCATCCATTTTTGGTTCATTTTTTGGGAAAAAACCTACAACCACAACCACAACCACTTCAGCTACCACTACCACTACAACCACCACTGCAACCACCTCTGCAACCTCAACCACCTCAACTAAACCTACACTACCTTCTACCACTTTCACCGCTAAAATGTCCTTAAAAGACTCACCATTCTTTTCATCATCTAAAAAGGACAGCAAATACTCAAGCTATTTAAAAGTCGATTATGAAAATTTCAATTTAGAAAGAGAAATTAAAAGAGTATTTATTTTCGAGTTTTTGACAGATTATGAAGTCACTCATCAAACAGAGTTTTTAGATTCATTAATTTTCTTTATTGGCAAATTTGAAGATTTCAACTTACTAAATAATCTAATTACCTATAGTCCTGGAATCGAACAACAAATTAAAGAAACCATTGTAAAATTTTCGACTCAATATGCATTTGTAAATTTATTAAAATTCTCTGTCAACAATAACATTTTACCACATAAATTTGGCATCAAACATCTCTACTTTACATATAGATATCCCGAATTTGTACCAGTTGAAAAACATTTGGAATTAATTAGATTTTTAATTACAAATGCTCAAGTTGATAAGAAAACCATTGAAACTTTAACAACCAGTTTACGTGAATATCACATTTATTGGAAAACTCAAATCTCTTTTGAAAGAAACGAAGAAATAAAAGATATTATCAGAGGTTTTTCAACATCAATTTCAAATCATCGTACTGTTGTCGCCTCCCCTGATCAACAATAAAATTAATAATGTAAAAATAAAAATAAATAATAAAATAATAAATTTAATATAACAAAAATTAAAATCAATATAAAAAACAGTTTATGAATTATTTAATTTTTATAGTTTATTTAAATTTATATTTATATTTAAAAAAAAACTTTATTTAGTGTTGTGTGGGAAATTAAAAAAAAATAAAAATAAAAAAATAAAAACGATAATTATAGGTTTTGATAAAAACTATTTTTTTTAAAAAATTTTTTTCGAAGTTTTTTTATTTCATTTATTTATTTCATTTTAAAAATATAACTTCAATAATATTATTAATTCATTTTTTTTATTAACACATTTTTGGTGTATGTATATATATATTTGTTTTTTTTTTTTTTTGGGCCATTTAGAGCACATTACAAGCTTCCCCCCAACAATTTTTTTTTCTTTTTTTTTATTAAATTTTATTTTTTTTTAATTTTTTTTAATTTTTTTTTTATTTTTTTTTTAAAATTAATAATAATTTTTTTTTTTTTGAACACAGATTTTAATTTACATTTCATGTTATAGTAATAATAATTGATTAAATTATAATACAAAATGACAACCAAGAGTAAGATATAGCAAATCTAATATAGAATTTCAATACCACACCCACACGCCCAAAGATATAGAAATAACAATAAATAATAACACCAATAATTTTTTCATAAAATCTATAATATCATAATTACAACGAAAATTAAAATTTTTTTTTTTTTTTTTTCAATAACATCATTCATGTTTTTTTTTTCTCCGACAAAAAGCATATGATATTTTTTTTTTTATTATTTTATTAATTTTTTTTAATTTTTTTTTTTTATAATAATCAATAACTATGCACACAAACCAATAATGATTTTTTTTTTTTTTTTTCTCCTATAATTTAATATAATTTATTAATAAATCTTTTTTTTTTTTTTTTTTTTTTTATAAAAAATTACGCAATTAATTTTTTTATTATATAATCAAATAATCAAATAATAATTTAATAATTATGACAAAAGTTGATTATAGCAAAGCTACAGATGGGACCAAAGTAATTTCTGATGACCCATGGTTAGAACCATATGCCGATACTTTAAAAAGAAGATTTAGCCATGTACAAAATACAATAAAGAGATTTGATGAAAATGAAGGTGGTTTATTAAATTTTTCAAAAGGTTATGAATATTTTGGATTTAATGTTACAGCAGAAGGTGTTCAATATAGAGAATGGCTACCATCAGCCCACGAAGTCTATTTAGTTGGTGATTTTAGTAAGTACACATAGTTTATTTAAAGTTTTAAATTACTTTTATAATAACATTTTATATTAAATTTTTTAGATCAATGGAGTAAAACTAGTCATAAATTAAATAGAGATGAATATGGTAGATGGAGTATTTTTATTCCAAATGACCAAAATGGTAATTGTCCAATCCCACATAAATCTAAAATTAAAGTAAGTATTAAATAGAAATTATCATTAAAAATAAAATATAAAATATTAATTTTTTAATTTTTTTTAAATAGATTTATTTAAAGTTAGCAAATGGTAATTGGGATTATAGAATCCCAGCATGGATTAAAAGAGTAGAACAAACTAAAGAGAATCCAGTATTTGATGGTGTATTTTGGAATCCACCAGTTAAATATCAATTCAAACATAAAGCACCATTACCACCAACTGATTTAAGAATTTATGAAGCACATGTTGGTATGTCTAGTGAATTACCAGAGATTTCAACTTATACAAAGTTTAAAGATACAGTATTGCCAATGGTCAAGGAGCTCGGTTATAATGCTATTCAATTAATGGCAATTATGGAACATGCTTATTATGCTTCGTTTGGTTATCAAGTCACCAATTTCTTTGCCATTAGTAGTCGTTTCGGTACACCAGAGGAATTAATGGAAATGATAGATACAGCTCACGAAATGGGTATTTTAGTATTGTTAGATGTTGTTCACAGCCATGCTTCAAAGAATGTATTGGACGGTCTTAATCAATTGGATGGTTCAGATCATCATTATTTCCATGGTGGTGGTCGTGGTAATCATGATGTTTGGGACAGTAGACTTTTCAATTATGGCTCATGGGAAGTAATGAGATTCCTTTTATCAAATCTTCGTTTCTATGTTGATGTATATGGTTTTGATGGCTTTAGATTCGACGGTGTAACTTCAATGATTTATTATCATCACGGTTTAGCTCCAGCATGTTCTTATGGCGACTACTTTGGTCCAAATGTAGACGAAGATGGTTTATCATATCTTACTATGGCCAACGAAATGCTTCATCGATTAAATCCAAATATTATTACTATTGCAGAGGAAGTTACCGGTTTAGCTTGTCTTTGTCGTCCAGTAAGTGAAGGTGGCGGTGGTTTTGACTATCGTTTAGGTATGGGTATTCCAGATAAATGGATAGAGCTTGTTAAAGACCAAAGAGACGAAGATTGGAATATGGGATCAATTGCTCATATGCTTTCAAATCGTAGATATAAAGAAAAGAATATTGCATATGCCGAGTCACACGATCAATCATTAGTAGGTGATAAAACTCTAGCTTTTTGGTTAATGGACAAAGAAATGTATTTCCATATGTCAACTCTTCAACCAGAAACTCCAATTATTGACCGTGGTATGGCCCTCCATAAAATGATCCGTATTATTACTTCATCACTTGGCGGTGATGGTTATTTAAACTTCATGGGTAATGAATTTGGACATCCAGAATGGGTCGATTTCCCACGTGAAGGTAATAATAATTCGCTTCATCATGCTCGTCGTAGATGGGATCTCTACAAGGATAAATTACTTAGATACAATCAATTACGTCAATTTGATATCGCTATGAATCGTTTAGAGGAAGAGTGGCATTGGTTAAGCTCTGGACAAGCTTTTATTAGTTGCAAACATGAAGATGACAAGGTTATTGTATTCGAACGTGCTGGTCTCATCTTTATTTTTAATTTCCATCCAAACAAGAGTTTTTCAGATTATAGAATTGGTTCTGGTGTTGAAGGTAAATTTGTTAATGCTTTAGATTCCGATCGTGAAGAATTTGGTGGCCATTGTAGAATTGGTAAGGATAATTATCACTTTACAGAAAATTTCGCTTGGAACGATAGACCATATTCTCTCAAAATTTATATTCCATCAAGAACTTGTTTAGTTTTAAAAAAAGTTTTAGATAAATAAAGTAAATAAATAAATAATCACAAATTAAATTAAATTAAATTAAATTAAATTAAATTAAATAAAATAGATATGTTAAATATAATATTTTTTTTATTTGTTTTTTTTAAAATCCCATATTTTGTTTATTATAATAATAAAAGATATTTTTATGTCTTTCAAATAAAGAATTTTCCTTGGATTAAACCTAATCCATAGATTTTTTAAATAAAAATTTTTTTTTTTTTTTTGTTTTTTTTTTTATGAAGTTTTTTTTTTTCCAAAAAAATTTTTATCTAAAAAAATTTTTTATCTAATTTTTTTTTTTAGAAAAATAAGATTTAGTTTTTTTAAAAATGAAACCAGGTATAGTAATACTCGTATTTTTTTTATTTATTACAATAATAAATTGTGTTCCAAATTATTATTATTTTAAAGTTATAGATCAAAATGGAAAGGAAAAAAATGATGTGGTAGTTCTAAACGATTGTATTAAATATAATCATAATAGCTCATACATTAGAATACAAAAAGTCATGGATGATATGCCAGAATATAAAATATCTTTTTTTAGAGACTCGGGGTGTTCTAGTTTAAGAGAATATTACAATTTTACATGCCCAGAGCATGGTAAAAAAGGAATTATTAGTCCCATAATGGATGTATATTGTTTTAATAGTTCCTATCTACCTTTTAGTTATTTTACAGTTACAGTCCAAAATACGACCTGCCCCACATTTAATATTAGTTTAAATAGCAATATTACATCATCTTGTCCTAATTATCAATATTTTAGAGCAACCCCGGTGGAGCCATTTTTTAATTATTTTACCATAACTTATTTCCATAATAATAAAAAAAATTATTTATCTTTTATGTGTACAAGACAAGGGGTTTCTGTTTTTTCTATCGGGCAAGAAAATATTATGAATATAATTTGTGGTTTTACTGAAATTGTATTAGAAACAGAAGAGCCAATACCTCTGGATTCAAGGTCATCAAAATTAACAAATGAAAAAATAATTTTAACATTGGTTTTAATACTATCAATTTTTACATTTATACCAATGTGAACAAATAGATACAAATAGATACAAATATATATAAAATATAAAAAGAAATATAAATATAATAAATATAAATTAAATATAAATAAATAAATAAAAAAATTAATAAATAAATAAATATAACTAATAATAAATAAACATATAAATATTAAATTAAATAGAGTTTTTTTTTTTTATTAACACACTTTTATTTTGTTTAGAAGAAATCTTTTTGAGCATCGTCTAATTTTGATAAAATATTTTCTACATTTTCATTTTGTGCATAGTTATTTATTAAATTACTATGATCATCTTCATTATGGTGATTTGCAACTTCTTTTTCTTTTAGTTTTTCTATTTTCGACTCAAATTCTTTTGCTTCGTTATCCAAGCTGGTCCATTCGTCAATAATTCTTACAGCATTTTCGAGTTTTGGAGTTTTGGTGAGAGGATTATTACAAAGATCGATTGTTTTAGCTTTTGCTTTTGATTCTTGACTGCACCAAGTTTCACACCAAAGCCATTCTTGTGGAAGACTGTGAATTCTAACATAGTGTTGTAAATAGTTTGGAAGATCTTGATCAAGATTTGCTAAACTATTTGGGTCTTTACTAAGTTGATCATAGGTAGCCCTAAGTTGATCACCAGCAGCTAAACGACGGAAACGAACTAAATCTACAACGTAAAGAGCAGAGATATGATATGGACGATCACCAAGATGAGATCTCCAATAACCTTGTTTCCAGAATCTAAAACCTTCAGTATCTTTGTTTGAATCACAGAAAGGAGTGTAACCTAAAGAGGCTCCACGGAGATCCATATCCCAAAGTTCTTTCATGTCAGTACGTACAACTTGATCAGCGTCAACAAAAATAATTTTTGGTACATTTAGGGGGAATAATACATCGAGGAATAAAATTTTGTAACTCCAAATAATTCTTTGTTTTTCTGTTTGTTTACGTAACCACCATGGCCATTTATATGTGACTAATTCGTATTCGAAACCGTACTCTTTAGCCATTTGTGGAATGAATTCTTTAAATCCTGGTGAGAGATAGTTTTTAAGGAACCAGAATTTAACTGGTGATTCTGTATTTTTGGTGACTGATAACATCATAATCTTTAAGAATCTTTCATAGAGATGACCACTTGCTACAGAGAAGATATGAATTGTATCTAAATTCTTTTTATTGGCAACTTGCTTTTTAGAATCATCATTCTTATTGAATAAATTTGAAAAGAAACCGTTGGAATCGTTCTCTTTATTCTTTACCTCTTCAGCTTTTTGTTTTTCATACTCTTGAATTGGTTGTAAGATTGGAGTTCTCTCTTGACCTTGTTTACGTTGAACATAGAGGGATGATTGTGGTTGGAATAAACTATCAATAACAACTGTATGGTATGGTACCATTTCACCATTTGCTTCAACAATATTCATAATATCTGAGGATCTACCTTTTGCTAAAGTTAATTTCCAAATACCTGGGTTTGATTTCAATTGATAGTAACCATAGTTGTTCATAACAATGGTATCTTGGGTAACTTTATTTTGAGTGGCAACAGGATTTAAAAGAATTTCTAAACCGGCTGGAGCGGCATCGGTACTAACATCATTGCAGCTACCTTCAATAACAATATTTTCCAATTCAAAAACAGCATATAGGACTTGTTCTTCGCCTAAATCCTTCAAACGAATATTATCAAGATCGTATTTGGCGATGATTGGTTGTACCAACCAACTTGATGGGGCATCTAAGGCTAATGTTAAAACACGATCCTCTGGAATATTTGATGTAACTCCTAATGGTTGATTAATAAGTTGACCTGTTTCTTCACTAAATTCATTGTCTAGTTTAATAACATATGTATAGAAGGTTTTTAATGGCATTTCTGATACTGATACTGGTGGATTTAATACTACATCTACTGCAATGTTTAGTTTATTTGAAAATTCTTGAATCATTGGTATTAGTTTTTGTGAAACCTTATTGAATGGATTGATGACTAAAAAGAATTTTAATGGTGAACTTGCAGCAGCATTATTATTTGATGGTGAATAGGTGAATGAGGTGGAAATTGAGCTTGGAATTCTCTTTCTGATGATTGATGATCCTTTATAATGATATCCAATTAATGAGCTAATTTTATTAATCAAATCGCTATAGTTGATAGATTTACCAGTTAAGAGTGAGTCTTCTTTTAAGAGATTTAAAATATCATTTGCTTTCTTTGATTCCATGAATAAAGCCAAGTTAAAGTCTTTGAAGAAGCTTTCGACATTTTCGTATTGTGGTGGGGTGATGATTTTACCATTTACTAAAATTGAAACTGGGAGTTTATTGGTGCTTTGAAGATTTAAATATTCTCTTGAGGTTTTGGCAGCTTGTTTGAAAAGGTTATCGGCTTGACTAACCCAGATATCACTAAGGGGAATTGGAAGTTTATAAGATTCAATTAATTCTTTTAATGTTTTAATTGAGTCGTATTTAGCAACATCTGATTGAATATCTTCAAAGAGTTTGATCATAATATCGTTGGTGACTTCTTTTTTATAATGTTTTAAAATTGAAACCAATTTGCCTAATGTGTTTTGAGATGATGATGTTAAAGTTTCTTGATTTGATGGGTTTGAAATGAATGCAGCTCTAGCATTTTTGTATGATTCTGATGAGGAGATTTCTTTTAATAAATATAATGAAACTTCTCTTGTGTTATATTGATCAAAATCACCAACAACTTCAATTGTAACTGTTTTTTCTTTTTCTGGATCTTCTTCGGTGTCTATCTCTTTATCTTGAATAAAGAAAAGCTGTTTCTTTAAAACATTTTGAGCTTCTACTTCTTTAAGTTGATTCTTTGAGTTTGTGATAAAGTAACTATAGTTTGAAGAGAATAAAATTGGACTATATTTTTCAAGAGTTGGGATATTGTTTTCACTCCAGTAATCGGTATCTAAAGTGATAGTTTTGTATAATTGGAATGAGGAAGCATAGCTATTTGGTGTATCAACGATAATTCCTTGTTTATAGAGTGGTTTAAGACGTTCAAATTCATCATAGAGAGAAACTAAAAGTTGTGATGAAAATTGTTCTGGAGAGGTGAATTCAATTGGAATACCATTTAAAAATACCTGTGGGAATGAATTGAGGGACATTCTTTCGATAAATAGGTTTGATGCTTTTAATAAATTATTGTATTCATCCGATTGGAGTCCTTGGTTAAGTGATCTGAAATTTGAATGCATTTGATTTATGACAGCATTAAAAGCAGATTGTAAAACTGAACGGGTGACGCCATCTTCACTTGGAGTATATGCTTTCTTGAAGTAGTTGAGGGCATTGATGAAAAAGATGGCACCACGGTTACCAATATTTGAGTTTTTAAAGCCTAAAAAGACTTTTGCAATTTCTTCACCAGAGACATATCCATTTTCTCTTAAATAACGAGCTCTTACACTATTTTTGTTTGTGTTAAACACAATGGCAAATCTAGTTGGAATATTTGATTGAATCATTGATTGAAGTTCTGGTAAAATTGAGAGGGTGTTTAATTCGTTCCAGTCTAAAACAATAACGGTAGTTAAAAGATTCTTTCTGAAAAAGATGTCTGTTGGTTCGGTTGATTCTTTACTTAATGAATTTAATGAGTTTTCCCAAGAATTATAGGTATAGTCCATTTCTAAACTATTTAATGGGAAAATAATATGTTTACCAACAGCTTGTGCCTCTTCCTCATTGTTTGGGTAAAATTTAATACGAATTGGTGTTACGTCTGAACTTTGAGCAATGATTTGATTAACAGTTTCTAAAGAAATTGGACCAACTGATTGAATGGTTGAGGCGGATTCATATTCTTGTTGGATGATATTTGTAAGATCGAATGGATTTAAGTCATCTACGTTAACAGAACGACCATTTAATAAAAGAATAGTTTCGGTAACTGGAATTGATTTTTGGTTTGCTTCAATTTGTTTTTTGAGGGTTTCATTAACTGCAGTTTTTGAAATGTAAGATGAAATTGTTGGGAGTTTTTGAGAAATTGTTTTTAATGTTCTAAATGGATCATTTGATGATATAATCTTTTGAGCACTTTGAATACCCAAATCTTTTAATTCCCAGACTTTAAGTTCTTTGGCTTCTTGGCTTTTGGCTAATAAATATGATCTAAATGTTGATAGTTTTGAGGTTAAATCTGGCTTTCTTTTTTGTAATTTATGGAAATTAAAACCACTAACATCTTCATTTGGAATACTAATAACAGTTTTTGATTTACCACTATCAGTTATAATATCTAAGATTAAAAAATATTAGTTTTTAGTTCTTTGTAATTTTATTATGTATATATATATATATTAGATTTAACTAATTACCTTTTTTAATTGCAGAATCATCCATAACTTTATATTCTAAATTTTTAATTGATAACTCGTAACCATAGCCTTGAAGATTAAACTTTTGACTTGATTCTTTTATGATGTATCTATAGCAATAAATTATTTTACCCATTTTTGAAAATTGTTTTAATTTGGGATGTACTAATTGGAAGAATTCGCTCTTGATATCAGCATACATAATAACTATTGGAGTGTTATCAATTGCGGAAATACCTGATGAGATTGGGTAAATATGGTCAAAATCGAATATTTTTAATTCTTCATCTTTTTCTTCATTAAGATCAGCGCCGTCTTGAGATTTTGAATTTTGAGATAATGATAATAAAAACTGATCATTAATTTCGCTTGCATCAGAAATTGATTTTCCCTTTACTTGAACCCATCCTTTTTCATTAAAATTCTTTTGAGATAATGACAATTGTCTAAAAGTCTCGACTATTGGTGAATAAGTTCTCATTGATAATTCGACATTTAAAAATTCTATTAAATATTTGGTACTTGGTAATAAAATTTCTTTAGCAGTATTGATTGTTAAATCATAGTTGATTTTATCTGTAATATTACTTTTATTTTCGATACTCTTTTTATTGAATTCTTCTATAAATTTCCAAAATAATAATTTATCTTGTTTTGAAAAAAATTCACTTTATATTTTTTTTGTAATAAAATTAGTAAATATTTTTTATAGTTGGCTTTTATTGTTTAAATATCTATCTTACCTAGCTTCAATATAATTTGGAGTATCACCCCAATTTGAAACTAAAGATAATTGGATTAGCTTTGAATCGAATGAAGTAGTTGCTTCATTTTCATCACCTCTAATAGAGGAAATGTTTATGAATAATATTAATAGTAATATTAAAAAACTGATTTTTTTAATCATTTTTTAATATTATGTTATATTACTGTTTGGTTTATTTTTTTATTGTGGTGTGAAGTGTCATCAAAAAAAAAATTAAAAAAATTAAAAAAATTTTAAAATTATTGTTTTTTTTTTTTTTTTAAAAATTATTTTAATATTTGTGCAATTTTCATCATTAATATAAATAAATAGTCCTTTTATGTCATAATATTAATAAATAAATAAATAAATAAACAAAGGTTTTTAATGATAAAATAAACCTTTTTTTATTTTTTTTTTATTTATAGCTTTTTAAATTATATATCCAGTCCTTTTCATTTAATAAATCAAAGAAATCTGAAAAGAAAGGAAAACTTTCGAGAGTTGATTTACTACCAATAAAAATTATTTTCACTTTTGCTCTTGTAAAAGCTACATTCATTCTTTTCCAATCTTTCATTAGTTCACCAATTTCTTTTTTATCATTTGATCTAACAAATGATATTATTATACAATCTTTATCTTTTCCTTGAAATCTATCCACTGTTAATATATCTAAATTTTCAATTGAGCTAAATTGATTTCTTTTTCCAATTTGTTGTGATTGAGGTGAATTACTATTACTACTACTACTAAGATGATTTATAATTGAGTTTTTAATATATTTAATTTGAAAACGAATTGGAGTAATAATACCGATTTGATCTATTGATATCTTAAGGTCATTTTGTAAACAATTCACCAATTTACCAATTATATCTGCTTCCATTAGATTATAATAAAAATCACCCACTTTATTCTCTTTTGAATTTTCCAATTCGTCGGTATTTATAAAAATCACATTTTGATTTGGATTGCACACCAAGAATCGCCAATTCTCTGGATCATTTAAAATAGAGCTATTATTAAACATTTGGATGATTTTATCTTGGTTTGGTTTAATTTGTAATTTTGAATTTTCAATGGTTTGACTACCGCACTTTAATCTATCGTTGTAAATGAGTTTATTGGAAAGTAACATTATATCTTTACACATTCTGTATTGGTAATAAAGATTCGAAATTGCAGAGGGATGTTGACTAGCCAATACTTTAAAAAGACTTGTGTCAAGACCTAGTCTATCAGCTTCTTTATTATTTACAACCGGTGGTAATTGATAGTGATCACCTACTAAAATAAATGATTTTGATAAAAGTAATGGCCCTATAGTCATAGGTTGGGAGAGTTGTGAGGCTTCATCAATGATACAGTAATCAAAAGTATGTGAGTTGAAATATGGATGATTTATTCCTAAACACGTTGTGGCTACTAAGATTTGATCATCTAAAATCTTTTTTACATCGGTAATATCTTTGAAATGCTTAGTCTCTAAACAAAATTTATGAAGCTGAGGATTAACTTGATTTAATGAGCTTGCTAAACGAAGTAAATCTATCATTGGATATTTTTCTACAACCTTAAGTAAAAGATGGTCTAGCGAAGTATGTGTAAATGATGCAAGCAGAACTCTTTTCCCCATTTTCCAAAGAATATGAATAAGTGATACTATAGTTGTTGTTTTACCGGTACCAGGCATTCCTAAAATTAATGAATAATCTTTGCATGATAAACTTTTCACAATGGCTCGAATTTGATCTGTATTTAAATGTGGATAGTCTTTCTTGAAATCTATAGTTGCTAAAAAGTTTTCTTGTTCTATTTTAAAAAAAGTTGGGGTTTCATAGTCTACAATCAAACTTCTAGTTCTACTATTTTCTTTGAAAAATAAATTAAATAGATTTGATTTGATAATAGCTAAACCTGACAACTGCTCATCAATATCAATTCTCCATTTTAAAATTTTATCATTTAATTTGTCTTGTTTTTGATTTTGATTTTGGTTTTGATTTTGATTTTGATTTTGATTTTGATTTTGAATATAATTTTTTTGAATTTTAACATAATTATTTAAACCTCTATTGTGACTAAATGAAACATTTTCATTTTCATATTCAATATGAATAATTGGTTTGCTTTTTGATTGGATGCCATAATATTCTATATCTTGTTTGTATTTAGATGGATGATTTTCTAAATCAAAAGAAAGAGATGGAGGTTCACTAATTTTCTCTCTGCAAGCAATTGATATTGAATCAAATGTAATTGATGACACCTGGCCGGCACCCACACCATAGCATGATTTATTTTCAATAGAAATAATCATATAGTTTCCTTCTGCCACTAATGAACTTGACATCTTTTCTGGGTCAACTTGGAACGTGTATATATATGATAAATTTGATTCATTAAATTCTTCACTGATTAATATAAGATCACCTAAGCATGTACCATTATTCTCTGAAAATTTTACTGATCTTGTCCAAATTAATTTTCTAGTATTACTTTTAACTTCACTTTCTAGTGTAATAATTCTTAAAAAAAATAAATATTAATATTAAATTTCAATAAAAAAAAATTTAAAATAATAAATACACACCTATTCCATCGTTTTAAATATTCAATATGATTTTGAGTTAAATGATCGGTTTTATCTAAAAACAATTTCCCTAAATTGCTCGAAATCTCATTACCATTTTCGATAGCCTTATGATATAATACACATGGTTCCAAAGCATAACATTTGCCACATGCAAATGGTTCTTGTAGCATATTTGGCAATATAGGATTTGGTTTTAATAATGGTCTTGAATTTAAATTTAAAAAATATGCCAATATATTTCTTCCAATAAATAATGATCTTATTTGATTTCTTTCAAAAAGAATAGGATGTAAAATACCATATTGTTGACCACTTTTATTCTCTTGACTTTTTAAATAATACAATAAACCAAGCTCAATATCTTGATCTATTAAAAAAAATAATAGTTTATTAGTATAATTGTTTATTGCTATTTAAAATTATTTTTCCTATTTATAATACAAACCATATCTATCATTCATTAAAAGTGTATAAATTAAAACTTGTGAAGTATGTGAGGTATATGGTACTTCATATGGTTTCCCAGTTTTTATTTCAAATGGAACATTGAGATAACAAATTGTATCATGATTTTTTTGTTTTTGATTCTCTCTAACTATTTGTTTGAATTTGGGTGATTTTTTATATTTGTTTACAACAGGTGATTTTTTGTTGATGGGTTGATCTTTGGTGAGTTTAATTTCAAATGATGAATCAATTTTTCCTTTTAATCCATACATTATAGACCAAATGTTTTCTTCGATTTCGAGTATATTTGAAATTTCTAAATGCCATTTTTCACCATGAATTTCAATCAGATTCTTTTTAGCAGCTATATTTTTTGGTTTGATGAATGTTTTGGCCCAATAGTCGATAGTGGCTAACCAAGGTTCTATGTGTGTTTTGGATGACTCTTGAGTTTCACCCAATGAAGATAACCCAATTTGAAAATTTGGTTTACTGAGGACTTGATCTTTAAATCTATTGATATCACTCAAAGTGAACGAGTTATTCTTTAGGCATTCTTGAAATATTTCATGAACAATTGAACCGAACATTGGCACTGTACTTGCTTTACTATTCCACCTTAGCTGTTCTTTTAATAAGGATCTACGAGCGCATGAAAAACTACCACCCAACTCTGTACCCGTGATTAATATATCTGGATGTAACACTAATAAATTATTTTGATTGGTTATTACTATTTGACCATCTTGATCAAATTCACCAATAACATTACAAATATCACCTGATTTAATTGGTGTAACTACCCATTCTTCTAACAATATTATTTTTTTATCTGATTTACTTGTTTCACTATATCCCAATAATGTTTTCTTATGAAATGGATTTTTACTAGAAAATGTAACTTCATAATGAACATCAATAATAACAATTCTTTCATATTTATTGTTTGTTGTTGGGGTTGTTGGGGCTTTTGATGATGGTGATGTTGTTGATGTTGTTTTTAGATTAGGGCTTGTTGTATCTTGTTCATTAAAATATCTCATCAAATTATTTCTTTTATCTTGAGTGCCGCCACTATTGTTTGAAAAGACTCCTTGTGTTGGTGAGAATTGTAACGGTGTACTATTGATACCCTTTGGTTTAAATGGCGAGTCAAATGATGGTGTACCTGGTGACTCAAAATGTATATCAAGCAATGGTGATTGTGGCAATTGAAAATTACTGTTTGTTGATTTGTTGGACATAAAGCTAAATGTTGGCGATGGTGTTAATCCATTATTATTATTACTATTATTATTATTTTTATTATTATTTTGTTTTAAAGGTGAGGGTGTATCAAAGGTAAAATCATTACCAAAGAATTCTTCGTCCTGTGGAGATTTTTGGGAATTTGGAGTTTTGATTCTATTATTTATTTGAGGTGAAAGTATTGGTGATATTGGTATATTTTGTTTCTTTGGGGTTGTAAATTTATAATTAACTGGTTGGGTTGGTGAAATTGAGTTTATTGTTGACTGGCTATTACTTATACTGCTATTATAATTATTATTATTATTTTTATTATTATTCCCAAGTAAATTTTGTTTTTTATCATTTAATTCTAATTGTGATAATGACTCGGTTGTAATCACAGAATCATTTCTCTTCAAACCAAAAATTTCCATACCTTCAAATTCATCTTCATCGATGCCTTCAAATAAATCTTTCTTTTCTTCACCATTATTTTTATTAACTATATTTTTTTTATTTCCGTTATTATTACTGTTATCTAAACAACTATTTATATGATTTGATATTTTTGTTGCTGTTGCTGTTGTTGTTGTTGTATTTTTACTTTCATAATTACTTATTTCTTGGGTTATATCATCATCTATTACTATAAAATCTGTTTTTTGTTCTAATTTTATTGGGGAGTTTGAAATTTTGTTTTTCTTTAGCTGGATTAATTGAGTTGGCGATTTATTATCACTATCAATATCGTAAACTAATCTCTTATTTTTATTTTTAAAGAAATCTGATAATTCTGAATCTGTCGAGTATAAACTGTCTTTTTTAATACTATTATTGGATTCGATTTTCTTTTCAAATTGGGTTGGAGTATGAGATTTTGGTGGGTGTAATTGCTGAGATGGCTTGTTATTATTGATACTGCTACTAATACTATCATTTTTAACAGGTGATGGTTTTTTTGATAGTGGTGTAGGCTGTGAACTTTTTTGTTTTGTTTTGCTACCTGAAGATCTTGGAGATTTAGTACTTGATGATTTTGGTGATTTGCTTTTATTACTTGAATAATAATTAAACAGGCTTACTTCCTCATCTTCCTCTTCTTCAGGTTGAAACCATAAATCAATTAAGGTTTTTTGGTTATTGCTATCTGATTTTTTTGTTGGTGATAATAGTGTTTGTTTCTTTTTATCATCATTTGAACTACTCATAGATACTATTATATAAATCTATTTAATATATATGCATAACAAAATATTATAGTTATTATTATTATTATTTATTATTATTTTTTTTTTTATCTCTATTATTTATTTATATATTTATCTGTGGCGCTATTTAAATTAAAAAATGAAAAAAAATTTGAAAAAATTTTAATAAAATTGGGAAATTTTAATTTTTAAAAAAAAACATTATAAATTAATTTTTTTTTTAATTTCAAATCCCACCAAAGATAATTGTACCGAGTTTTCCAATAATCATCCTATTTGCATTCTCCATCAATAGATATTAGTAACTGTAATTTTTAAAAATTAAAAGTAAAAAAAAAAGAAAAAAGCTTTCTATCCTTTATTGTTATAAAGATTTTAAAAAAATTTAAAAATATACATTCTCTTTATTATATAATTATTAAATATTATTTATTATTATAATTATTATTATTATTTTAATCTTGTTTTTTACGGTCATTATAATTATTAATTGTTCTTAATCTATTTACATTCCTATTTCTATCGGATTCTAAAATAAATGAGTCAAACTCATCTTCCTCTTCATTATTAATTGAATAATTGTTACTATCGTTGATTGTATTGTTTCTACGATTTGTAGTTTTATTATTACTATTATTTTCATCAAAAATATCATTATTGCTATTAAAACTATTATTGTTGCTGTTATTACTAACATTTCTATGATGTGTTGTTTTGTTATATTTATCATATACTATGACCTCTTCTTCTTCTTCTTCGTCATCTTTTTCCTCCTTTGTTTTTACTGGTCTAAAATTAATAGAAATATAATATGTTAATAACCTATATACATATAAATCACAATTTAATGAGTTTATACTTACTCATATTTAACATCCTCTTTCTTTAAAAACATATCTGTTAACTCTTTAAATTTAGTTTTTGCTGCTTCCCCAAGTTGGTTAAATTTCACTTTGAGATCTTGAAAATCCTCCTCAATGAGTGAGAAGGTACTTGGACCATCTTCCTCTATTTCATCATCATCATCATAGCTGTGTTGACGGTATTGTTGTTGTTGCTGTTGTTGCTGTTGTTGTCTTTGTTGTTGTTGTTTTCTTTGAAATTCATAAAAACCTTCACGGTCCTGTCTTAATCTTTCTTGTCTTAATGCTTCTAATGATTGTTGTTGAGATTGGTTTGATCTATTATTACCATTATTAAACAATGATGAAAAATCTTCGTCATTTCTTAATTGATTAATAAATAATTCATTCTGTAACATTCTAGCTAAATCTTCATCCTGTTCTATTTGTGCAACATTCTAAAGAAAATGAAAAAAAAAAACTAAAATTAATATTTATTATTATTATTAAAACTACATTATAAGGATTGTACATGATCAGCTTCTGGATTTTCATTGATTGGTTTTTCACCATTCATTTCTAATAAAGTATCTATTGTTTTTTCCATATGACCCTTGTTTTGTCTTAAAACTGTTTCAATGATTTCTTTATCGAAATCACCAAAAATACTTTGTAGTTCTTGAATTGCTTGTTGAAATGGGACACTCATTTTATATTATTTATAATTTATTATTTATTATTTATTATTTTAAAGTAACAATATATTGTTAATATTTTGTATTTTGATTTTATTTACTAAAATTATTATTTTTACTATTTATTATTTATTATTTATTTATTTATTTATTATAGGACTTATTGCTATTTAATTTAAATTATTTATTAAAGCAAATATTGAATTTTTGAAAAAAATAAAAAAATAAAAAAAATAATAAAAAAATTTAAAAAAATGTTAATTTTAATTAAATAAAAAAAAATAAAAAAATAAAATTAAAAAAAATAAAAATTAAAAAATAATAATAATAATAATTTTTATTATCGTTCTATCTCTGGTTTTTTTTTTAATAAAATAAATAAATAAAATATATAAAAAAAAATTAATAATTGAAAAAAAAAATAAATAATAAAAAATAAATAATCTATGAAGTTTATTTGTTATACAGAGTATAACGCTTATTATAAAGCATATAATTCATTATAGTTATGATAATAATTTTTTTATTATTTGCAAATTGAGACATTACAAATTATAAACATTTAATAAAAAATAATAAATGATACTATTTAATATTATAATTATTAGTAATATTAGTATTGCATTATTTTTTTAACCCAACACCCACACACAAAAAAAAATACTCTAATCAAGATTTCATTTTTTCCAAAAAAAAAAAAACTAAAGATATACAAGATTTTACTTGATGTAGCGTGATTAAAATTATTATATTAAAATATTGTAATTTTATATTATAAATGTATATTTATTTTTATTTTTTTTAATTATCTTTATTTTAGTTTATTATTTATTTCTTTTTATTTGAATTTACATTATTATAATAACCACTACTTTCATGAGTATGCTTATTTTGATGAATTTTATGAATTTGTTTCATAGCATTATCATATTCAAATTTTAATAAATCATCAATTTCTGAAGAATCACGAATATAGAAATATTTACCAATTGGATGGTTTATTATGATTGGGAAGAGATATGGTCTAAATATTTTTTCAATAACATTGTACCAAATGAAACCTAAAATAATACCAACTGAGGATCCAATAATAACTTGTTTTGTAGTGTGATAATAAAGATGAACTCTGGAATATGCGACAGCGGCTGCTAAAAAATATAAGGATGCCAACATAACTTTTGGGAATAATGAAGATCCAAATCTAATTCTCTTTTTTAAATAAAACAATGTCATTAAAACTGCAAAGAAAAACATAAATTGACTATGACTTGATGGCATACCATAGCTTTGTTTTTTTAATTCCTCTATTTAAAAATGAATGAATGAATGAATAAATTAATAATTTATTTAAAAACTTTTAAATAATAATAATGTATATATCCTACTCCAAATAGTTGGTCTATGTTCTTTAATTGATTTTTTAAGGACATAGTTTGTACATTCACTAAATAATAAACCTAAAAGAATTGAAACGGTTCTAATATCTCTTCTAAATAATATTAATGTGAGGACACCAATGGCAATAGCAATTGGTACTAATGTAATATAAGCATTTAATAATCCATATGGATCATCATGCTGATAATGAACAGTTGTTAATTCTACAAATGTCAATGCTGTATGAACTTCTTCGTTCATTTTCCGATTGTTTTTGTTTTTTTTTAGAGTTTAAAAAATAAAAAAAATAAAATTTAAAAAAAAAATAAAAAACTTTTTTTTTTTATTTTTTCTGAAAATTTATAAAAAAAAATTATTTATGAAAAAACTATAAAACTATAAAATATTATATTTTATTTTAATGTATAAATAACTCTTAAGTTATCTTGTTTATTTTGTTTTTTTTTAATTGAATATTTAAACATGTAAATGTAAATGTTCAAAATCATTATAGCTGTCTACTTCTTCATGTGCTTTTGATTCTTCAGAGATGGTTGGAGACTGTACATTTTCTTCAACTGATCCTTTAACACAAATTACATTACATTCAGCATGTTCCAATATATATCTTGAAGTTGAGCCAATAAATATTCTTTTTATTGGTCCCATTCCTCTTCTTCCAACAACCAAATAATGAATAGATTTCTCGTTTGCTGCTTTAATAACTGCTTCACCAACATGATTACCATGCCCTAACAATGCTTTAACATTTTGTACCTTTTTTTTATAAAATAAAATTAATTAATATATACATTTTTTTTTTTTTTTTTTTTTTTTTTTTTACATACACCTAAATTCTTTGCAAATTTTGCTCTATTAACCAAAATTGTTTTATGTTTTCTTTCAATTGCTTTTAAAGTTTCTTTTATTAATATAATACTTTTTAATTAATATTAAATAATATTTTTAAAAAAGTTTTGTATTTATTTAAATTAGTTACCTGCAACAATAACAGCGGACATAGCAGAGGAAGGAAACGTAATTGGGTCTTCTGCAACCGAAATTAAATAAAGAGTATCCTCCTCCTTTTTGAATAAGTGGTTTACAATCTCCTTAATACTTTCTTCAGTATTTGAGCTATCATCAACTGCAATCATATAATTTACCATTTTGTCTATTCTTATAATTATTTATTTAAATTAATAGTTTATTATAATGTTTTTATAATTGAAAAAAATAAAAAATAAAAATTCTTCTATTTGAAGATGAAAAAAAAATTAAAATTTAATTTAAAATTAATAAAAAATAAAAAAAGAAAAAAAAAATTAAAAATTAATTTTTTTTTATAAAATTAAAAATAAATTATAAATTAAAATAAAATATAAAATAAATAATAAATTAAAATTCAAATAATATAAAATTTATAGTTCCAATTTATTTTTTTATATTTAATTATTAATTGATGATGTAAATAAATCATTATTGTAAACTACACAACAAAAGATTTTTAATGAAGTTTAACTTCTCTGGTTAATTTACTTGACCATGGGCAGAAGATACAACCTGGTAAGAAAGCTATATGTATTAAAAAATAAAAAAAAATTAATAAGGGAATAAAGAAAAAAATAAAAATTATTTGTATTTTTTTAACATACCACCACAAGCCTCATCAAGATGATCTTCAACGTATTGAAGGTTAGCGTCACATACTTCAATAGCCATTTGGAAAAAGGAAGTTTGATCTGGATCTAAATGGAAGCTGTAATCTAAATAAAAAATAAATAAAAAAGTTAATAAATCCCCATTTTATTTTTTTGAATAAAAAAAAAAATACATACGTGGGTTATAGTCTTTACCAGTCTTTTTAATTCTTCCCAATACGTGTACTTCATTTTTTTCCTCTATTTATAATAGAAATATTGTTTTTGTTAAAATTAATGAACTTAATAATAAAATTATTATTCTAGCACATACCTCCTGATAAAATGTCCCTTGCCATTTTAATTTTCTTTGGGTCAGTTAATTTGAATACAAAGTCATGATCGCTTTGATGTGTTTTAAAAGCAAAGTAAGCCTCTTCAGCAGAAACAAAAGCAGAGAATGTAAGTAAAATTACAAGGAAAGCAAGTAATAATTTCA